TTGCCTCTTGATCCTCCAGAAGTCCTTCTTTCTTTTTCTGATCTTGGCTTTCTTTGTGGGAAAAACAGATGGTGAGCCCCAATTCCCTTATATGGCTTGCAGGCGCGTGAAGAGAAGCGGGACATACGAGTTATTCTGACATCCCAGGGGAAGCAGCCCCTGCGTCAGTATTTTCTGATGAAAATATTCTCCTTAACTTAATAATTTTATCTTTTACTTCCCTACCAGTGGGCACCATGGCATAGCAAGGACTGCTTGCAGGAGGCTGGGGATAGGAGCAAGGTTTTCTTAATGTATATGCATTAAATCTCTGTTTTCAAAGTTATTTTTTTCACCCATTCTTTTGCTAGAGCTGCGGCCATGCCTTCCCTGTGTGTGTCCTTTGCTTCTCAGTGGTTGCTTGCTGGGCTTCAGCGCTCCTGCACCTGCACCCAAGGGAGGGAGCCCCGAGGGGTCCCCGTTCCACGGAGGGGGTGGCATGTGGTGGAGGAAGCAGCTCTAACCTGCCGGAGAGGATGAGGTGGGACAAGACAGCAGCCCTCCATGCTCAGCAGCATCCTCCTGCTTGTCCCAAGTGATGTCCAAAGACATCTTCTGGGTTGCTCCCTCCAAGCAAACCAGACCTGTAAAGCACTAATAGCACTGGCACTACCAGCCTCAAGGCATGAGTTTGGCCAACCCTTCCAGTGCATATTTCTAGCCCTGCTCGAAAGAGGGGTGCAGATGATGCCTTGCGCCTGGTGTAGCACAGGACAGGCTTTTGGCACCCTCCTGGGTGGTGGATCTCCTCTGAGTCACCCTTTTCTGCCTGGCTGGCTCCTTTGACATTAGGCAGATTGCCAAAAGCCTTTTTGTTTAAATAATGCTCCTTGGAAGTAATTGCTGGCTCTGGCAGACAGGAGCAAAGCAAATTGATAACTGCAGTATAGTTTTGAGGGCAAAGGGGATCATGGACAGTAATTGTTCTTAACTGCATAACACTTGGAAAATTGTTTGTGCAGCTGCTGCAATGAGCTGGTCAAGCAAAATTGAGATTTTCTCGCTGTCTCTATTACATGCAGAAAGGACCATCGGTATGCTGTGTTTTGTGAGCAGTCTTCCATTCTCCCTCCATCACCAGTGATGCAGTAACCACAGGGGACGTGCATTTCCCCAGGCAGTGCCCGGATGCCTCCTCCCTTGGCTTGTTCACAGTCCCATCAAACAGGCCTGGTCACCGTTGTTTTCCAGGATGCTCCCAAACACTACGGTTACTCGTGTCCTAGACGAATGAAGGACATGTCCTAGGAATGAAGTCATATAGAGTGCTCCATAAGAGCACTGTAAAGCAATTTTGATTTTGCAATTGGAGACCTGAAGGCTGATGACAGTGGAGATGCTGATGTCTTGACCAGGAGGTCCACATGCACAAGAGAGGCACCTGGACCTCCCTTGAAGCTCTATTGCCATGTTGCATCATGCCAAATCTGCTCCCCATTTTGCGTTATCCCCAGCGCAGGTCACTGAGATGCTGACTGTTTCACAAATGTTTTCGTACACCCATGACACCTTTGTGCTTCTGAAGAGGGACTAGAAAGCAAAATTGGGTCACCCCATCACTGGAGCATGGCGGTGAAGTCACATGCTAACCAAAATTTGCCTCCCACATGTGCAAAAGCTTCTAGAAAGTAGATGGCCAGTGCAGTTTCAGCTGTACTTGGACAATCACTGCTTGAGAGGAATTGGTGCTTTTCCATGCTGAATTCTTAGGACAATCACATTTTACTTGGAAAATAATTGCAAGTGTATTACCCAGCAGCTTTCTGAAAAGCGCATCAAAGATCTCTGGGTGATGGATTTGTTTTCTGTTTGTTTCTCTGGGATTTCTTCACTAGAATTGAGTGTTAACTAGTTAGTTATAAATCCAAGCCCTGTGTGTAGACTGATGGAGAAGTTATTGAGTCACCGTCATTTACTGGAGGGGGATGCTTCTATTTTTAATTCTGTGTTTCTTTACGGGTGGATGAGTGGCAAGCTAATAGTCGTGTTGAAATTTGAATGTCAGAAAACAAGGGAGAAACTTGAGACTTGCTCGTCATATTTACCCTGCTGCATTACATACTCTATCTTGAGTCTTTAAATGTGCCTTTACATACCATCCATGCGTATTTTATAAAATGAAGTGATCATGATTTCATCCTTTGTAGGATGCAATATAAAAGACTCTGTCTTCTTAAATAGGCTAAACATGAATTAATTTGACAATACCTTATTTTTCTGATTGGTCTTAATGTTGTGCTGGCTCTTGATTACCCATCTACTAAGAGATAATTGTTCAAGGAATTGGCAGAAACAACATGCTGGACTGGTTGTCCTGTTAATGCTATTGCAACTAATAGACTATCTTAGGGGATTGTAGGTTTATTTGCTATAAATGTGAAAAATCTACTTAATAGGAAGGTAATCTATTTGTTAGAAGTCTTTGGTGGGATAAATGGCTGCTCAACAGGGACATAAATGAAGGTTCCCAAAGAACCTTCTGTGCTCAGGGTCTGAGTGCCACAGGGGTGAAGTTGGTGCAGGTTGGGACATCAGGGCACAAGCGAGGCGATGACTTCCAGCCTTGCTGGGAGGATGGAGGTCCGCTGAGCCCTTTTGGTTGCAATGTCTCACAGCTCATCTCACGCTGGCACAAAGAGAACACAGTCTGGGGCCGTTCACCACTCCACAGTCAGGGTTATTGCAAGGATAAAGCATCACACTGAACTTGTAGGGCAAGTACACCTCATGCTTTGTGGCCATGGAGGATGTCCCCTGGATTGCAGCTGCTGTGCTGTCACCTGTAGACTGGTTCACATGCATTTTTGGATGTCAGCAGGAGCAGAAAGTCCTTGCCAGGCCACAGGGGAGCAAGCAAGGTCTTCCTGGGGCTGTGGATTACTCCTCTGTACACTGAGGACAGCAATGCCAGGTGCGACTTGGACTTGGCCATCTCCTGTGCAATAGTCTCTTTGCTCCCCTTGTTACCAGCAGAAATGTTTATAAATGCCCTGTAAAAAGTTAGATTTTTTTATTTATAATGACAATTTAGGCTTTATTTAGAAGATAGAAGTATGGTCTTTCCTTGCGTTAGTGCCTTTTTTGAATTAATTTTTTATTGATCTCTCTGGAACTGGTTTGTGGATACATATATAACAAAAACCCTTTGCACAATGCCCAACACTCTCTCTCTTAGGTGATTACAAGATGTACATTTCAAGATAGTTTGTACAGATATTCCAGAAATCTAGGAAAGCTGTCTAGCATAAAGCCATGTGAATTATTTAACTAAAGCACGGAAAGACAGTAGTGCCCCTTTACTGCTAGAGGCAAGCTTGCTGGAAAGTGACATTTTTATTACGTCACGGTTTTTACATTTTTAAAATAATTATTCTGATCTCAAATCAGGACGAAACCTAACAAATCCCCGAAACTACAAAAACAGATGGTGCTGGGGCTTTTTCTGGACTGGCAGTTTTATTCAGTGTTGTGGTTGAATCCAGCAGCTTTGGGAGCACCCAAGGGCAGAACTCGATGCTCCTGTTTCACCGAGACATTGAGAAACTAAAGAACTGAGCAGGCAAGAAACACAGGCAGTTTCTGTCAAACTATTGCCTTGGGAATATTCCTTTAAAAATATTTTTTTCTTTAGAACTACCTCGTTGACTTCTTACTTGCTTTGCCGGTGTGTGGCCTGTTGCAAAACTTCGAGCAGACCTTCTGGAGTTTGCTGACCGGAGGCGAGCGTGGTTGCAGCTGGGTAGGAGGAATGGGCATGCCCCTCATCTCAGACATCAGCTCTGAATTCACTCTGGAGGCATGAAATTGTATTTAAAAGTGTTTAGAAACGTCCAACAGCAGAACAGGAGTAAGATGGGATTATTTTTTTTTCTACATGTTTGTGCACCAGCTAGTAAAATGGATTTTTCGCTCAGATTTTTTGCTGTGGGCTCCTATATTCTGCAGCAATCCAAGTGAGAATGGCATAAGTAGTGGGATTACCCCAAGGGAAGACGTCTCCCTGCGGTACTACCCCTTACTTGTGTCACTCGGGCTTGGGATGTGCACATGCCCCGCGTTGGGTGGGCTAAACCCACCGCTTAGAGATTAAAAAGGGCAACTGATAGAGTCAGGAGACTCCTTGTGCTACCGGGAGAGCGGATTGAGCAGGGTCGGTAAAATTTAGGGAACACAGATGGGATAAAAGGTGGTGAGCCTGGACGAGATCCCAGAAACGATGGGTGTTACAACAACTGTGCAAAATGATAATGCGGAGCAGACTGCAAAATAGGTGAAACTGGGATTATTAGGCCAGTTTGGCATATGTGTTTGTAATGATTGCCCGGGGTCTGGTGTCCTGGGTATGCATCTAATTTAAGGGAAATAACTTCTTGGTGAAGACAAACAGGGAGGGAAGAACCCAGGTATGGCAAGTCTTTCTGTGAATTCCCTTTCCGTGTGATATAGAGAAGATCTCAAAAGATTTTATTAACTTGTAAACTGTGATTTAAGGGAATTTTAAATGGCATGTGAAAGAAAAATAATGAACAAATGTTTTCAAGTGGGGAAAATCTGTCTCTGCCATATGTTTCACTGAGTCATCCCTTCTGCAGGAGATCTTGCAATTGTTTCAACTATTCCAGTCGCTAATCTTTTTTATTAGCAGCAACATCACCGTAAAATCAGCACCCGATCCTACAACGCATTAATACCATGTACTGGATATAGACCTGATCCCTCTAAAACTGACATGTGTTTTGCTCTGGGCACAGGTTAAATTTGCTCTGCCTGTCTCGCCGTTGAGTAAAGACCAAACCTGGCCGTGAGTTTCCACTTGCCACCTAGATGATGTGATGCTCTGAGCTTGCCAGGATGTTACAGAAACCTTCAAACCCCACCACTTCTTTCTCTTTAATTTATACATGGACCCTTTGCATCACGGCAGAGCCCCGTGCTGACAGTGTTGTGTGGTTGTGTTGCAGGTGTGGTTGTGTGGCGGCAGCATGGAGGTCCTGCCCTGCTCCAGGGTGGCTCACATCGAGCGCAAGAAGAAACCCTACAACAACAACATTGGGTTTTACACCAAACGCAACGCTCTGCGGGTGGCTGAGGTGTGGATGGACGACTACAAATGGCACGTCTACATCGCGTGGAACCTGCCGCTGGAGGTACGGTCATTGCACCCTGTCCTAACTCTTCACTTTATTGGGTAAAAAACTTGAATTATAGAGCATTTAGTGCCTTTGGGTGACAGAGAGCCTTAAATACCCTGGGTTGCATCCCCAGATGTGGAAATCTGCAGGGCTCCCTCAGCTTTGATGGAGATGCTGGAAAACCTACAGATTTTGGAGGAATTCCTACTGTTCACATCAGCCTTTTTGTTTTCATTTCTAAAAATTAAACCTGCATTGTAGTGTTTATCTCCCCGTTGAGTGTTTACACAGCGTGAGTTTATGTCATGACACTGCTCTGCAGTCTGTAAAGTCAATTGGCAGAAGATTATGAATATCAGCATCATTAGTACATGAGGGTTTTTCCTGTGGCTCGGGTGGGTCCGTGTTGCGTGCAGCCCAACTAAGGTTTCCCAGCTCACAGGTGCTGTCGCTGCCCCGCACTCACTGGGAATGGTGTGTGGTCCAGGTGCCTGGGCCGTTTGCTTTCCCAGTGTTGGGAAAGTCAAGGTCATCAGCACTTAGAAACCATGTTCAGAAGTAAAGGGTTGGACGTCAGTGGCTCCCAGGAGGAGATCCCCTCCCAGCAGCACTGCGTGCAAATGCTCCAGAAACACACTCTTCAAATAGCTTTGGTGGTTATGTTTATTTCTGGACAGAAATGGTTAGATTTTCTTAGATCTGACATGTTATTTTTCATGTAAGTCCTGCCATGTCACAGCATGGTGCATCTTTGGAAAACCATGGGATCACGCCAGCAAGACAAGCTGACCATGCCCAGGGCACACATCCTGCACATGGACCTCTCTAGATGATTCCTTGCTCTTCTGCGTAGAGCTCTGTAGGCTTCAAGAGGACTTTATGTAGGTCCAAGGCTGGTGCTTTCGCTCTGGTCTCTGTGCAGGTTATATCTAATCATGAAACCCAAGAGCATCTCCTGCCTCCGGGTCTGAACGCTGCCTGGAGCGTGCTGGGAGCACCCTGGGCTGGGCCAGTCCCCCCATCTGCTGCCTCTGGTCCTGCCAGAAGAAGAAGAAGGGGTGGTGGGGAGGGGTAGGCAGTGATGCTCTCCAGGCTGTGGGTGGGATGAGGATTCTGGGTGCCCTGCAGAGCTCCCCGACACCCGCTCCACTTGCAGTGTACTTAAGTATGAGCACTGGGTGGCTCCGTTCAAGTGTGAGGAAAAACTGTTGCCACGAGTGGCCAGACCCCATGTGAGCAGTTATTTACAGCCTCCCTTTTGGGGCTAAAAATAAACATGAAATATTCATACCTTGCAGATCACATCCCTGCAAGGAGCTGCTGCAGCCCTGATCCTGCTGTGACAGCATCCCCGGCTGGCAGCACTGTGCTCCGGGGCATTTTGAAAAACGATAAAACGTAAAAACACGACCTGCTGCTGCTTTCTGAGGAAAGGTTACGTCTGGGGAGAGTTACTGGCATTTAAAGCCAAGGTAGTCACAACTTTGTACTGTATTAGAGAACAACAGGTACCTGGGAAGGGTCGGTGAGCCAGTTTGAGCGCTGCCGGTTTGTCGTCCTGGGGGTGGTGGGGAACCCTGGATTAGTTCATTATTGAGAAATAGTTGGATAGAGTTGGAAAGAATTGCTGTTTATCCAGCGAGCTGCAGGAGGGCACTGGCTGTGACGGGCACCGCTCCAAGCATTTGGAGAGGCAGAGAGTTGCCTGCAGGACTGAATGATTTCAGGTCTCTTAAAAATAGGTTGCAAGATCCAAATACCCATAGGCTGGGATCATAAATTACTATGGGTTCAGCCCTGATCGTTGGGTGAATTCCTTTTCAGAGGTAAGGCACCATGCTCCTGCTCAGGAAAAGCTTTGGCATGTGGTAAAAAGGGATTAAAAATCATTGGGAAGCTGCAGGTCCTGTACGGCTCGGAAAAGGCAGCATCACACGACTTGGCACTGGGGGTGGGTCTGGGGAAACAAATCTGGGTTACCCTAAAACCAATTTGAGATTTTTATATAAATCTTACCAGTAAAATCGAGATTTAATTTTAGAGAAGCCTTGTTTGACAGGTGGTATTGTGCAGGGGGTTATGGATATACCCTCAATTATTTTGCGATGCCACTCTATTCAAAACCAAGCCAAACCCCATGCACTGAATATTTCAGGTGCTGACTGGTTTGTAGTCCCATCTCACCCACTCAGATTTCAGCCTGCCGTAGAATCGTAGAATGGTTTGGGTTGGAAGAGACCTTAAAGATCATCTGGTTCCAACCCCCCCTGCCGCGTCCTACCTGTCTACACTGAATCATCTTTATTTTTACCTATGAGCTACCAGTCACGCATTAAAATGGTGTCTTCTCTAAAGCAGAGTGAATAATTCATTAGAAGATCATTACAAGCGTTGTAATGGAAAATTGCTTTCCCAGCTGTATTTAATGATCACTACAAAAGGCAAGAGCTGGAGCTAAAATAAAGTAGAAACCCAGACACTTGTGGGAGGGAGTGAAAGAGGCTGCAATGTGCCTTTCGTTTCCTTCACCTGGCTGCTCCATTAGTTCCCCAAATTCTGTAATGGAATAAAAGGTTAAAGGGGGGCAGCTCTCTTCAGCCTCTGCTCCCACCTCCTGTAAGATTACTCCTCTGGGGACAGATATCATAGCTTTTTCTACTTTTAAATCGGCTCAAGCAGTGGGGTTCCTCTATGTCTCCAGGGAGACTATTTCACCACATAATTGTCCAAATTGTCAAGAGGTTTTTCTGAGGTTCAGACTCAACTTCTCTTCTCATGTAATTTTCATCCTTTATTCTTAGCTATCTACCTCTATTATATATGAATCTTAAACCTTTCTTTTTTTTCTTCTTTTCTTTTCCCCCCTTATTTTATACCTTTTAACTGTGCTGTCCTCTGCATTGCCTCTTACTAGGGTCACACACCCTTAGTGTGTCAGAGGAAGGGTTTTGGTGCTCAATGCACAGTCAGGGATTTGCATTTCTAGGATTCAGCATGTGATTGTCTTTTAAATCCTGATGTGTATTTGCTGTTAAGCTCTTCTGGAGGTCCTGCACGTCAGTACCTAAAAGGGAGGTGAGATCTTTTAAAAATACTATGTCATTGTGCCCGTTGACAGATTCAGTCTGTCCCAGATGGATCCAAAGCCGAGAGCAATCAGTGGGAAGATTCGCCTCTGTTAACTGCACTTGCCATATTTCCTTTCAAAACCTTTTCTTCTCCATTTGGATTGTCTTTTCTAAATTATCTCCCAGGACCAAAATGTGTCCAGCATCAGTCTGGTGGCCATTGCAAGGATGCCTTCAAAAACTATGAGAGAAGTGCCCGTCTCCTCCTCACTGTGGCTGTGAAACCCAAGTCTTCCTTCTGACTTCTGTGAGGATGATTTCAGCCTTGGACACACATGCCAGAATTCCCTGGCAATGGCCTCTGCATGGAGTTACTCAGCCGTTGGCAGTTTCCAGGCAACTTGGAAGTGATATAAAACATCAGTGAAACACACTCTGGTTTAATCTTTTTTAAGAGTAACCGTTCACTGACGTGCTATATCTTTATTTTTCAGAATCCAGGTATTGACATTGGGGATGTTTCCGAGAGAAAAGCGTTAAGGAAGAGCTTGAAGTGTAAAAATTTCCAGTGGTACCTGGACCATGTTTATCCAGAAATGAGAAGATACAACAACACCATCGCTTATGGCGAGGTAATTAAGGCTGAGCAGTTCCTTAGATCAGACTGGTAATATTGACAGCTGGTGAGCCTCTGATGAGAAATAGCCTCAAAGGAGAGGAGTGTGAATCAAAACCTACTATTCGTGTATAATTATATAAAGTTGTATAAATCTGTTCAGAGTTTCTTCTAAAAACCTATTTTGGGATTTATTTCTGATCTTGGAGACCATATACAGTAAAATATTTTAATACCTCATTTACTGAATTGGCATCAAATTATCTGTATCACCCATTGACCTCATGGATTAAGCAACTGTATATATATATTTTAATACATAGTCATCTTATAAAACCCTTTGACTTAAACTCAGCCTAATTCCTTACAAGGTCTCTGTAGGATACAGTGCATTGTCACAACAGCTTAAGGACAAGATAAAGTAAGCAGACTTAATTCAATCTCTGCTGGCTTTGAGACGGTATGGGGAATATAAAACCAGGCATTTATGGGAACTAATAATACTCTGTTGCAATAGTTCTCATGGAATAGTGACAGTTTAAGAAGGTTTCTTAAAGCACAGCCTCAGCACCCCAGATGGGCATTAATTTTCAGAAAGAATTATTATCAAAGTTACTTAATGCCTTGAAGCTAAAACCTCCCAAAAAGTAGTATTTTCAAAGTCATTATTGCAGTTGCCTTACGTGGGGAGACTGGAGAGAGGACATCTCTGCAGTAACGGACCTGGTGGCCAGGATTCAGCGACCATTTGACTTTGTAGCATGAACCCAGCACTTCCATGCTCCCTCCAAGGCGTGTCCTTCAGTACTTGATGACTGGTTTGCCATCCCTGTGTCTCCTCCTGCATCCCTGGGACGATTCAAAGGGGCTCCTTGTGCTCGCTGGACTTTTTTTCCCTGCCTTGTAGAGCCCTTTGAGATTTCGATGAAATAGAAGCAATTCTGCATTGGTTTCAGCCTCCTGGCAGCATGCTGATGGCAGTCTAAAAATATGTTTGTTACCACCACACATGACCAAATACAAAGAAAACTGTGTTCAAGGAAGTTGGCTCCTTTGAATGGTGATTATTATATAAAAGCAGTCATCATTAGGCCCTGTATTTAAAGAAAACATATGGCGCACTAAACCTTTCTCTGCCTGATTATGCCTAGTGATATAGCACTGTATATTCTTTCTATAGCAAGAGAGGCTAGAGACATTGCTGCACATCAGTTTATTGCTTATCTCCAAAGAGCCAGGGCCATATAACTCTGCACTTTTTGTTCTTTACAGCTTCGAAACAACAAGGCAAAAGACGTTTGCCTTGACCAGGGCCCGCAGGAGAACCACACAGCAATATTGTACCCGTGCCATGGCTGGGGACCGCAGGTGAGGAGTTAGGCTGCTGGGACCTCGAGTACTGGGAGCAGGCGATACCCGACAGAGGCTGGATGGGCAGAGGACAGAGTACGGATGTGCAACTTGTCTGTTGGCTTCATTCTGAAATGTATAAGGCCCAGCTTCTTGTTAAAAATGCCTCATTTTCCCAACTACTCTTAGAGTAGCTGTTTTCTGGATTACCCTAACGATGCTGAAGCTGCAAGTAAAAGCGTAATCTGAAAAAATCTTCCAGACGAGGGTAAATAATGCTGAAAGCGAATAGCCGGTGAACAGAGCATACACAAGCAGAGCATTTTAAGACATTTCCTTTCTTTCTCACCCAGCAGAGTGAAAACGTACCAACTGGGTAAAGAAAACAGACAGTGCTTTTTAACAGGATGATAATTAGCCATTTCAACTTGGCTGGGTTTTACCATAGGGTTAGTTTTCTAGCACTCCTTTTGCCTCTCCAGAAGTTCTGGAGCAAACCAAAAGCTTCTTATCCTAGTTTTAAGCTTATTCTAGATTAAAAATCATCATTCCAAGATTCACTCTAGACCTCATATGTTTTAGAGGATTAGTAGATGTGTCAAATACTGAAAGTTAGTGATGATGAACTAGTTCAGTCTCTTCTGTAGTTTTATCTCTTACCATGTTTTAAGAAGAAAGCAGCATAGGAATGCTGCTGATTCAATCGCGATAGAGTTGGAACAAAACAAGGTACAACACTAGCTCTGTCGCTCGGCGGCAGACTCTGAGCTGGACCTTCTGGATGTGCCGCTCCCGGGATAATTTACCCAGTTCCCCACTAAATTTTCCTGTCTGCTTTTCTCTTATCTCTGCCCATATCCTCACTTCAGTATTTTGCCTGTGATTTTATTCCTGTGATTTCCTTTGTGTTTTTCTTTCTGTATGCCTAGTGGTCATCATCTCATCGTGCAAATCCCTTATCACAATGTCCTTCTCCCCTACAATTTTTAAGGAGAAAATACAACAGGTTTCCCTTTAGGTCTGGAGGCAGAATGACAATCTTATGACACATGTGGTTTTCAAGAATTACAATGTGATTTTTAAGTTTTCTTTTATTACCAAACTCATACCTGATCTCCCTAAAGCCGCAGAGTAGCAGCATTCGTTCTTTTGCCATTTTAACACTATCCAGTGAGGCCCTGGGTGTTTATCATCAGGATTTGATGTATGTATCTGACTTCAACATTCTGCTTTTGGTTGCATTTCCCATGTAAATGTTGTGGCTACCTACACTGGAGATTTAGCCAAGGCAGGGAGGTTGCGGACGATGGGCTCTACCATCACTGTGCTTGCACAGTGTGTAGTGGCAATGGGTGGAAACGGATAAACTCCTCTGTGACAAGGTTGTTTCTTCTGTTGCTTTGCTTTCTCTTTGTTGAAAAGTCCATGCTCATTGCCAGACTCAGAAATATTTCCCTGTTGCTGTCTCTGGATCAGTCACGTTTGTGCCGAAGGGCTTGCATCTACTGATCTGCTTAGAAGTTGGGGCAAATCTGTACCTAAAAGCTGTCTGAATGCCAAGTTTCTAGGCTGAAGTCATCATCTACATTCTCTCAAAAGAAGGCAAGATGTGCCACAGGAGGACACCCATGGCACCTCACATGATGGGGTAGGTCCTGCCTGTCGCTCTCCATTACCAAGAGGACAAGTCTTACACTGGAAGCTTAACACTGATTTGGGGGAGGTTAGGTGAGACAATCCCATCCCAGCTGTGCCCAGATGCTGAGTTAGGTAAGTTAAAGGTGTCTACAGAGGTTTCTTTTTATTTGCAGGACAACAGTTTGTCTTTGCACGTTTTAGGGAAGACCTGCCTTCTCACTGCACGTATTCTGGTCGCTGTGCTATATGGGCTGTGTTCTTCCCTGACCCAGTAAGGCAGCCCTGGCTCATCATTCCAACATTTTCTGTCTTGGCATCATGATGTTTATTACTCTGGCATTGGCTGTGCCTTCCAACAGCTTATTTTAACATCACGACCCCAAACCAGAACTGTCAGTGCTGGCAAATGACTCCGGATTTAGGCTGAGAACTGCTGGATGGGCAGGACCACGTGTCTAAAGCGTTGTGAGCACCTAAGTCCTGTTGAAATTACTACACAACAGCAAACTGCCATGATGAAGCACCACAGGTGACACTGCAATGTACCGTCAAAGGCAAGCTACTGTATCAAACCTTCATCTCAACCCAGAAGTGCATAAATTACATAGAGATGCTCAACACCAGTGGTGGAATTCCGGCTCCCAAGAGCTCTGTAAGCCTGCCCTGCACCTCTGCTCCAGGGTCACTGGAATCTCCGTGCAGATATGAAGAGAGGAATCTTCTTGTTCCTTCAGAGTGTTACAAAAGAAAGCTCATCACTGCGGTTGCATTCATTAAGACCAAAACTGTGAAATATAACATAATAAAGACCATCCCATTAAGTATTTGTATAATAAAACCCTGCCTGTGAAAATTTCTCCTGTTAATCAGAAAGGGGAGCAGGAAGAGGAAGAAAAGTGCCGCACCAGACAGTAGCATTTCCCAACTTATTTGTGGTAATTTATTTATTGAGCAAATTTCCAAGTTAAGCATCAGAGCTTTCCAATTCAAACAGAGGCTGCTGTGACTGGTTTGCTTACTCCAGTTGCGTTGTAGCCCCTGATGGGTTGCAGCTCACCTTGGATTTGGATGTCTTTTTTCTAATACTCCAATATTGAATAGCTGTGTGAGTAGCAGTAAACTCAATCTTGAAAGCAGATTTTTCTTTAATCCATTGGATATTGCAGATCATGTCAGTCTGGCTCCTTAACGGTTCTCGTGCAGCCCATATGTGGGAGGAGGTCTTTACAAGGGAGGGAGCTGCCCCAGTTGCTGTTTTTCAGGTGGGGAAAAACATATTGGAGTTCACAGCAAAATCTTGTAGCCATTCCCTCGGGTCTGGGAACATGCGATCCCATTCCTGGTAGCTTTCCTGAGACAAGATCTGGCTTTTTTGTCATGTCTTGAGGTTTAGCTCGTCAAATCTGGATGAAAACCTGGAGCATTAATCAGGGCTTAACAAGGCAGGATGTCAGTTCTCTGTTCTATCATGGACCTCAAATACGACTTAAACACGTGTCTTTTAATTCTCCACCTGCAATATGAGCCATCACTGGCATGAGAATGAATTGAAGATTGAGATGGAGCCCAGTGGGGACGTAGAACTGCAGGACACTGCAGCTGTAGCAGCCTTAGTCAGTATCTGGGGTCCAGCATGCTCAAGGAAGTTCATTTTCAGCTAAAAAACTATACTTCAAGCGGTGGGAATGCATAAAGAACCCATCCTCACAATGTGGTCACCTTAGGCCTTCCAGGCTCACCGGGACTAAGTAATCCCAAAGCTCATCCGAGCCTGAGCTGCACACTTCAGGAGCCACCTGAGCCTAGGAACCAGCTGCGGGAGTCCTTTGGGGTAGAGGCAAATCTCACTTTGGTTGTCCTTGCCCTCAAAGAAAGATCAGTCAACCGTGGCTGATCGAGTCACTGCTAAATATAACCTAGCTGTTGCTTAAATGCACACAGTTTTTTTTCTTAAATGGCACAAACTGCTTTTTGGACTTTCTGGATGGAAACTTAAACCTCTTAAGTGCATTATAGAAACTGAATTAGCCTGACATTGTCTGCTAACCCTGGGCTTTAAGATGAATGGCTAAAAGCAGGTTATTTATTTTTTCCTCATCTGTTTTTTGTGATTACACTTAACAATATTTTCTTTCCCTGCCTGATGTTCTGAAGCTCCCTTCAGCTTGCCTGTCGTGCAAACTCAGCACAGGTTTTTCTTTCTGGTCTTCCACCTCCACAGTGTCCCCTCCCTCTCCAGCTGAGAGCCAGTTCTTGGCAGTTCTTTTGTTTTGTGATACATGCAATTAGTCTAACTCCTTGAAAATGCTTTTTAAAAGTAGCTATCAGTGAGTGCAGAAGCTTTGAAATTAGCCTTTTGCAGAGGCACGGGTGCTGCACAAAAGAAATTGGACTTCTGCTACTACTATTTAATTAATGGGCTGCGTGTTGTAATTTATTGCTGGGAATACAATTAGAAGTAATGTAAACACTTTTTTCAAATAACTCGCTTGTTTTTTATATACATATATATAGAAACACAAGGAGTTGCAATTCCTTTTGAGTTGTTCGGCATCCGAAAGCACACACAGTGGTGCCTGTGCTCAATGTTCATGTAGTGTCCTAAAATCTCCACTTTTCTCCTTGATACCGTGGCCCATCACGTAGGTGTTTAAATGTATTTCACAATTAAGAAGCAGGTTCCTTGGCAGCAGTGAGTGAAGGTAAGGTGGAGGCTCCCAGCTGGCATTTTAATGACACGAGGATAGCGGTGTCGCGGGTCCTGTTCCTTGCCACACCGGGTAATGTTGGGATTTTGTCGGAAGTCTTCACTCTTTTTGAGTCCATCCCCACACCGTGCTACTCTCCGCTGTGACTGCGGTGTACCTGTAGATGAGCAGCTCACCTCAGAGAGAGTCTGAGAGTCCCCTGCTCTGCGGGGAGAGACTTGTCCCATTCAAGGCAGGGCAGCTCGTATTGTATCTTGAGTTTCTGCTCTCTCTACTGATGGCTGCTAATCGGTTGAAGCTGAGCGTGCAGCATTCAGACGGATGCAGTTAGGTGTGATGGATCCCATACCTGGCGCCGAATGCGGATGAGATCATGACTTGCTCTATTGTTGCATCTCTCAGTGGGGGAAATGTTTGTTTTTTCTCTGGTTTTCCCTTTAGCTTTCCCTTCTCCTTGCTTTCATTCACTTCCAGGTCAAATCATTATCAGACTTCATGATGGAGTATCCTTTTATCCTGTAATTATATTGAGCCTGCTCGTGGATTTTTTTTCTTCCTGATGGCTTCATCTTTTAAGCAATACATCATGAAAACACCTTGTCGTCATTGATGTATTACACTAATAATATAGTAATAGCTCATTGGAGTGACAGAACTATGGTGATATATTAAGGTGATAGAAAGCACTATAATACTATAAAACTTAAGATAATGTTCACCCAGCAGAGCATTTCATTTAATTATAGGATAAAATATGTTTTGCCCATTTAAGCATCAGAACTTGAGGACAAAACCATCAATACTGAGATCATCCGGGACATGGCAGTATCAAGGGTGACAAAACAGCGCATCAGATTAAATTGTGTTAAAAAGAAAATACTGTACGCTTTAGTTATGGTTGCTAATTGATGATCTGCTCAGTGCAGAAAGGAAGCTAAACAACCCTAAATTATTTTCCAATAGAGTCAATGAAGGTCATGAAGGCTTTTATTTCCCAGGTGCTAAGACATCTAATTAACTTTCTCCCATCCCTGAGATGCAGCCAGCCAGAAACAATAATCAAAGAAGATGTATCGGTGGTGCGAGTTTGCTGGTGGGAGATCAGCCCAAGCGATACACCGGGCACGTGTGTGGCTGTGCACCCCTCTGCTCTCCCAGCATCAGTGGGGGCTGCGGGCCCCCTGGACCAAAGCCACCCCCCAAAGCGGTACCTGAAGGTGGGGGACTTTGCAAGATGCAGCTTTACCCGGGATGCAGTTTCACCTGGAAGGGTGTTTGTAAGAGGCTGTGGGTGTGAATCAGTGCTTCTGTCTGGGGACGTGGCTTCGGGCCAGTTATATTGATTAAGGGGTTTAAGACCTCATCAATATTAACCACTTTTAAATGGTTAGCTTGTTAATATTTTTAAACTGTTTTTCTCTGGTCCTTTCTCTTACTCTTTCCCTTGGTTTCTTGTCCTGTGCCAGGCTGGGTAATTCCTTCAGGTGTTTCCTCAGGCTGGTACCTCTGTGTTTGTCTTTTTCCTCCTGGACTGGCTGTATCCTTCACCATTCGTTCAGCTCGTTCCTGGCTTGGTCTGCTTTCTGGAGGCTGACAAACCTGCTTAGCAAGCAATGAGACATAGGACGGATCACTTTAAAGGACAGATGTATTTGGGGGGGAGGGGGGCAAGAGAGCAAAATTTAAACTGGGGTGACTTCAGTGATTTACCTTTCCACAAAGCCAGGAAAACATAGTTTTGTTACATGTACTGTCACTGGATTTATCAGGTTATGCGACACGGGCTGTCATTAACTTCCTGTGACAGGCCTACACTTTGGAAAAACCTCCTTCTTCATCAATGAAATAATTTTCTTTGAAGAAAAACACACTTTTATTATCTTTAAGCACCATGATGAACATGTGAGCAAATCACTGGTGACTGCAAAGCAGCCGTGGGATCTCCAAGGGAATAGTCGTGTTCAGACACATGCTGACGTAGGCAACATTTTTGGGGTGGTCAGCAGTGAAAGAGTGAAGAATAGGAGGGACAATCCTTCGGAAACATCTGAGAGGAGAAAAACGATGTGGTCTGTTTCATGGAAGAGCCTTCCCGGATCCTGCGAGAAGAGCTTACCTGCCTGTGCTGTGAAGATGAGGAGGAGAGGGGAAGAGCACAGACAGTTCAGGTGGTGCCAGGTGGATCGGGTACACTCCTGGGCAAGAGGACAAGACTTACACAATTATGTTGCTGAGACTCCCAAACACGGCACCTGAAGAAGGAACATGTTGAAATCCTGCTCATGGCCCTTCTTGTGCTCCCCTGCGCCAAGGAGCGATGTTACCCAGGGGGTATTTTGCACTGATGCCGAATATCCCTATGAGCACTTGCAGAAACCTCTCACTGTTACATCTTATTCACTCGACTTTTATATGTAGCCAAAGGATAAGTTCTCATCAGCCACCTTTCCCAGAGGTCATCATCTGGGGCTGTGCTGACCGCGTTGAAGTGGGCAAGTTTGCTTGAAGCACTGAGCTGATGAGTTGGTGGATTGCTGCAACTACTCAGAAGTTTTTAATAACTGCAGCGTGTGTGATTTTCTGATATTCTAAAGCATTTGTATGGCAACTTTGGTTTCTAAGGTAGGCTCAGGTCTTACACGAACCCACTGTCTAGAGCTGCTGTTTAAGATGTTGGTCAATGCACTACGTGGTGATGCATCAGAGGCACTTCCCATCTCTTCTGTTATCGGGCAAATCCGGATAAAAAGTGCCAGGCAGGCTGCAGCTGCGCTCCCCACTGCTGCCTATGGGGCTGTCTCAAGTGTTGGCCTCAGATCTGTGTTTTCTTCCTTTTTATCGCTGAAGAAAAACCCAATGGCAGCAGGATCGGTGCTTCACCGCAGAACTCCCATTTACCCGAATGCTTCACCCCACACTGTCACGATGTGGTTGAGACCCCCTGCTCGCTCTGGAGAGCAGCGAAATAACAAAAGAAGAATTAAGGCATCAAAGGCAAAGTACAGAAAAAAAAAATAAATCCGTAAATGTCTTAGGAGCATAGTGGAGCTTGCACTCGTGAGTTAAATGGGATTTTTTGGGAGTAATCACTCTCAGGTTTGATGACTGGACAGGCTTGAAGTGAGGCAGTGGCTGTGGCTGAGCCTCCGCTGTGCTCAGCAGAGTAGATCAGGCGTTAGGCAGTGTGCTAGATCCAGATGTGTGTTCAGGCCTTTATTTATCTGGCTGTTATCCATAGTAGATGACACATCTCATAGATGCACTTAATGCATTTTTCATAATACCCGTGTTTGTTTTTCAGCTCGTTTTGTCTCCCTGCAGCCTCCGCCCTGCTCCCTTCCTCGGGAAAGATTTGATTTTTGCTCTACTTATTTTTCCCACCACATTAGGCGATAACATGTAAGAGCAGAAATCATGTTGCCTTGTGGGCATTAGGCCAACTGTCTGAAGACAAGCTGCCAACCATCATAAAAAAAGAAAGTGTCTTGCATGCTAATTACGTACGTGGTAGGAAACGTTTCAGAAGCAGGAGAAGGAGAGTAACTTGTACTGCCCATTTGGGACCTCTGGGTGATTTCTTTGTCATGGAGAAGGCTTGTCTGTTTTTGTCTTTTCCTTCATATACCTCTTTCTTTTTGCAAGACAAGCAGCCTCATCCTCTGTGTTGATGCTGAAATGCTAATTCAGATGAGTTGCATGGTTAAAAACATGCTTTCAGGCTGAGAGCACCGTCTCACTCAAGGCTTGGCCTATTGAAGCATCAAACTGCTAAAAACAAATAATGTGAATCTGAGCCTTCAATGGGGCTGGAGGTGCCCGGAGGGTCATTCCCAGGTTGCTCCAGCCCCTTATGCAGGGCAACTCCCTTGCAGGGAGCCTGGCACCGCGTGAGCTGAGCTCGGTGCTGGATAGAATCCCTGTCTGGTGGTCGGGCACCCCATGCTTGGGGGAGATGGGTGAGTTGGTGGGAGGAGGAGGAGGTGATGGTTACAACTTCAACTCTGCAGTCTCCCCTCCTGTCCACCCCTGTTGTGCCAGCGTGGCAGTTTGGAGGGGAAGTTACTGTAAAGCTAAAGAGACGTGTTCTGTTCTGCACCATCTTGCAAAGGGCTTTGGGAGGTAGAAGAGAAGATCCTGCACTGAGGGACGGGATGGGGCAGCTTTGCCTTATGCTAGCATCAACTGTATGGTGTAGGCTGCTGTGACTGAATCCACCTGGGCATGAATACCTTTGGCAAACGGACCGGGGTGAGATGTAAAGAAGCAGGGGTCTTGCTTTGGTACACAACATGTTGGCTAAAAGCGTAACTCCACCAGCAGCTGGGAGCAAAGCGTGCCAGGCACCCATCCCAAGGAAGACGGGCAGCACGGGGGCCAGCCGGAGGGTTCAGCACACCTGTACCTGCAACCAGCATCACGGAGAGAAGGCAAAATTGGCTTCAAGCACCCTAACTGTATCTGCGGTTACTAGCTGGAGTCGGATGCTGTTACATTGTTTTAACTTGATTTTCAATGTTTAATTATTCTAACCGAGATAACCCGAACTCCCAGTGTGATTTACTGTCTCTTTTTAAGCATTTGGGTCACAGATATGCTCAGTTAATTAATGTGCTGAATACTCCTTATTTGTCTGCTAGATAATGGATTGATTCATAATACAAATAAGCAGCTGTGTATATCTTTCCCGTGAACTATAAAAGGCAGGCCACTGTCATTCATCTCTTTTCGCTCCTGAATTTAAATACGTTTAGGGAAATATTTTGGTGAGATTCCTTAAACACTGCAAATGGAGGAGCCCTTTGTGTGCACGGGGCTGTCTGGATGCCACCTCGGCCCCAGCTGTGCGCTGCCTGCCCAATGCCCCCGAGACCGTCGGCACTGCCTCGTGCTCCCAGGCTGCATCTCCCTGGCAGCCGAGATGGATCCGTGGGAGCGCGGGGAGGTTGGATGCAGGGGGCATTGCAGGGGTTAGCTGCAATCCTGAGCCTTTGCTAGAGTGCTGAACTGTGGGGGAGATCTGGGCTTGCATCCCTGAGGAACGAGGCCAATTATATATGGGCCCCCTTTGGCTGACGTTGCTGCCCGGCTGCTGTTGGAGTTGCTGGAGGGCTGTGCCAGACACACCAGCAGCATCGTTCACAGGCCAAAGCAAGGCTGGCTTGCCAAGCATGTGAGAAACCACAGGCTGGGCCAGCATGACTGGCCAAGCCAGCTGGCTGTGGCTGAAAACCAGGGGAAATCATCTGTTGCCCCAGCCTACAGAGTGTTCAGGCCCAAAGGAGGCTGGAGACCTCTGCCCCGTGATGGGTTTAAGGCTCAGAGTTGTTCTTATCCCTCCCCTGTGCCCTAGCTCGTCACCTGCATCTGCAAAAAAAACCCCAAACAAAAGAAAAAAAGACTGGAGAAAGTTGGGGTTTTCCCTCTTGTTCTACTTTCTCTGTGCACCATCCTCACAGTTTTTTTCCTGGGGCTCTGCAAACTTGTCCTTTCCTCTCTTGTTTTGTAATGATGTTCCAAAGATACTGATGGTCTTCTTCCTCTCCTTCCCTTCCCCCCAGCTTGCACGCTACACCAAGGAAGGATTCCTTCATCTTGGTGCCCTCGGGACCACAACTCTTCTACCCGATACCCGTTGCCTGGTGGATAATGTGAAAAGCCGCTTCCCTCAGCTCCTCGATTGTGAGAAGGTCAAGAGCAGCCTCCATAAGCGCTGGAATTTCATACAGGTTTGTTACGGGTCTGCCATCAATGCTGCTCCTCTGCTTCCCCAACCATGGGCTCTGGTGCATCGTCTTTGGTGGGAGACAGCGTGGGACAAAGACGAAATGGTCCCATGCAACAGCAGGTGCCAGGTCCTAGGGCAGAGGGAAAAGGTTCAGAGGGATCAAGGGCTGGGACAGTATTTTAGGGCAATTTCCAGTAGAAGTTTCCCTTTCTGATACCCTCAGGTGTATGTAACCTGCCCTGCCAATGACTTCCAGATTTCTGTGTTTCTGACAGTTAATCTGTGGTGAAATGAATGAGCAGACCGTACTTTTGTCCCAAAGCAGAGTATAAATAATAAACATTCTACAGAAGTGTCACACCTTTCTAATGCAGGGGTGCAGTCACGCTGTTTAAAGGTTAATGATGTCCTTTGATTGCTGACGTGTTAGAGATCCGTGTTGTTAGTGCTAACGGTTGCTCATTCCCTTCCCATTGATTATTTTAGGAATTTCTTTACTGTTCGAATTGCA